ATTATTGACGAAATTCATTTACTCGGTGGTGATAGAGGACCTATTCTAGAGGTTATTGTATCACGAATGAATTACATTAGTTATCAAACCGAAAACAAAGTTCGTATTGTTGGGTTATCAACAGCTTTAGCAAACGCTCAGGATCTAGCAGACTGGTTGTGTATTGATAAGGGTGGATTGTTCAATTTTAGTCATTCAGTACGTCCTGTTCCATTAGAAATTCATATTGAAGGATTTTCCGGAAGACACTATTGTCCTCGTATGGCTACTATGAATAAACCTACCTTTATTAATATTATGAGACATTCTCCTATAAAGCCTGTAATTGTTTTTGTTTCATCACGACGTCAAACACGCTTGACTGCTCAGGATTTGATTGCGTATTCTTGCTTGACTGAGAACCCTCATCATTTTTTGAGAATGACTGAAGAAGAATTGCAAATCAACCTCTCTCAAATCAAGGATAATAGTATGAAAAGTACTCTTACTTTTGGCATTGGGCTGCACCATGCTGGATTAACTGAAAGTGATCGGAAGATAGTAGAATTATTATTTCTACAACAAAAAATTCAAGTTTTAGTTGCAACTAGCACCTTGGCTTGGGGTGTGAACTTACCCGCTCATTTGGTTGTAATCAAAGGTACCGAATTCTATGATGCCAAGACTAAAGGATATGTAGATTTTCCTATTACTGATGTACTCCAAATGATGGGTAGAGCTGGTAAGTAACATTACGCGGAATTATTATTCTCAACTTTCTATCACTTCATTTCTCGATTAATTTTGTGCTAAAGCTTTAGTTTATTAGATGCTAATACTATCTCTTCTTTTTTTAATTAAACAGGTCGTCCGCAATTCGATGATAGTGGGGTTGCTTGTATATTTGTACAGGATTCAAAAAAGAATTTTTATAAAAAATTTTTGTATGAACCTTTCCCGGTAGAGTCCAGCTTACATATGCAACTTGAAAATCATTTCAATGCCGAAATAGTTGCTGGTACTATAAAGTCAAAAGAAGAGGCAATGAAATATCTTTCTTACACTTATTTATATCGTAGATTACATCAAAACCCAGCTTATTATGAATTAAAAGATGCCGAATTCAAAACTATTGACGATTATCTATCCAAACTGTTTGAAAAATCTATGAAAGAGTTAAGTCTTTCTTATTGTATTAATATGGATGATGATTTTAATGTGGAACCGACTTCCCTTGGCAGGCTTGCATCATATTATTATCTTTCACATAAAACGATCAGACTCGTTCGAGACCATATTAAAAACGATTCAACCATCCGAGATATCTTAGGTATATTATGTAATTCAGTCGAATATTCTGAACTTCCGGTTCGACATAATGAAGATCTCCAAAATCAAGATTTGGAAAAGGAACTTCCTTGGTCTGTTCAATCTCATCATCCATATGATAGCCCACACGCGAAAGCATTTTTGCTTTTGCAGGCTCATCTTATAGGGACCAAATTGGCAATAGCTGATTATGTTACAGACACATTTTCGGTTTTAGATCAAGCAATTCGTATTTTACAGGTAAAATTGAACATCAGATTTTCGGTCATCTTTGTACATAAAATATTTCTAATTTTTTTTTTCACCTTTCTTAGTCAATTATTGATATCACTGTCGAAAATAACATGTTGACAACATGTCTTCACACCATGTCATTATTACAATGCATTAAGCAGTCGTGTTGGCCCGAGAATTCATCATTGCTGAATCTTCCTGGAATTGAAGATCATATGATTAGTTCAATTCTTCATGAGGTACTATTTATTGAATGGAATCGATCTTATGATTCTTCTATATGGATTTGCTAATTTTTAATATTTTAAATGTTTCAGGGAAATGTAGTCGCATGCCTAGGCGAATTATTGGACCTTTCAGGAGAGGAGTTGTTTAAAATTTTCAAAAACGTTAACGGACTTTCCGAACCTGATGTAGAAAAGGTACGTTTCATTTGTTTAATATGTATAAGTAACGTTGTGTCATTGCATGAGATCAAATCAATAATTTTAATTAAATTTTTATGATGATTTCATAGATTTGTAAAGTCGTCAACAATATTCCTCTGATGGATGTTAGTTTTCACAAAATTAATCATGCTTTGACTCCAAAGGAGGAGCTCAATTTTGTAGTTTCTTTGAAAAGAGTAAAGAAATTTTCAGGGTATGATGGTAAAGTTTACGCTCCTAGATTTCCAAAACCACAATATGAATCATGGTGGTTGGTATTTGGAGATAAATCAAACGATAGCATAATCGAAATGAAAAGGATTAACATGCGTAATGGACCTTTTGGAGAATTTTCTAATGAACATACTTCCAAATTGAAGTTGACTGCACCAGAGAGGGAAGGAAAATATCAATATACGATATTCCTTATTAGTGATGGCTACTTAGGAATAGATCAACAATATGACGTTGAATTTCATGTTAAAGATGTTAAAGTCGTTAAAGAGATGAACTGATAAATGGAAGGAATTTGTCATTTATTTCATTATGTTTAATATATTATAGCTACTATTTATTTTTAATTTTTCTTTTTTTTTTTTCTTTAGAAAATTAATGCATTTAAAAAAATAATATGTGATAAATTAATAATAATATAAATTTTTAATTATAATCAAAAAAATTATTTTTTGTAATCGTCAAGATTACTTGAATAAGATAATGTAGAAAAGGTGTTAAACTATACTACTATAATCTTTTATTTTATTTTATAATACATTTAACGTGTTTAATCTTTTTTTTTTTTAAAAAAAAAAATACCAATAATATCAAACTCTCCACCCAAAGATTTAATAATATAAAAATATCGAGGTAACAAATGCTAAATTACAAAAAAAAAAAATAAAAATAAAAAAAATAAAAAATAAATAAAAAAAATAAATGAATAAATAATAAATACAATTAAAAATAATAATAATAATAATAATTTTAATGTATTTTCTAATGAAAATAATAATAAATAAATATCTAAGAAAAAAATAATAAATTCTGTTTTTCTTCAAAACTAAATTTCTTCACATTTGATAGTAAACTTGCTGACCAGACAATGAAGTAGAACTATGCCTTGCATTGCCATAATACTGTGAAGGGTTATTATTACAATATGCAGATTGTGGATGTTGTTGATGTGTTGTAAAATTTTGTTGTATTTGTCTTGTATTAGGTTGTTGATGATGTTGTTGTAACGATGGAGAATGTTGAGATCCTGAGGGAGATTGATTTGAAATTATTTGTGTTGAAGAAATAGATGGTTGAAAGGCGGGACGTATTGATTGTGATGAATAAGTTGACATATTATTGGGTCTTTGAGAATAATATACATTAGTGACCATGGGCTGTTCAGGTACAGTATTATTATTAGCGACTTGCCCAGGCCTGACATGAGGAGTGAAATCATAAAATTAGAATTTGTAATCTATCATCATTTTAATTCTACTTGATAAATATTATTAATTACGACTTACAAAACCCTTGTATATATTTTTGGAAATATTCCAATTTTGTCGGTTCCTCGAATTCTACCTTTCCACCAATCCATATTTACTAAAAACAAATTGAATTAATAAAAGTTATCAAAATACAGGAACACAATCATAATTAGAAAACTTACCATATTCAACCACTTCTATGATATCACCTTTCCTAAAACTTAAATCTCCACTATCAACACCTAATAAAAAAAAAAAAAAAAAAAATGATAAAATATAACTAATCAATACCATAATAATAATAATAATTGTCATAATAATAAGTAAACGAGTAAACAATCGTTTCGCTAACCTCTAAAGTCCCACAAGGCTTCAACGAGTGAAATACTATATGCTGGCAGCAAGGATTCCCGCTTTGGTTTACGATTCATAGACTTTTCGTATTCTGCCTCTTCCTGTTTATTATTAAATACTGGTAGTACTTGAGGACATGGGGGAGATGAACTGGATGAATTCGGTGGATGAGGTAAAGGTCTAGTTGCAATGATAGCTCCTGTATTTGAAATCGAACTTGCAGTTGAGCTAGGTTGTGAATGGTGACCAACTTGTTGAGAGCTAGATACGCGAGAAGGTAAATCCGGTCTCGACATTATCGATTGGTACTCGATTTGTGATTGGTCAGGAATCCCAACTTCCCGGTTCTGCATTAAATGTGGTAGAGGAGGAGGAGTGCTTAATAACGGGGGCGTTTCTCGAAATGGTGATATGGATCTTAGTTGTGCTGATATTTGTTGCGATTGTCGTTGATTTTCATCGTCTTCAAGTTTTTGTTGTACTGAAGGATACATTGGTTGTTCTTGCGAAATCTGAGATGATGCTGAAAGTGGTCTTTGCGGTATAGAAGTAATTGAATTATGTTTTTTCGAAGTATCGGATTTTACAGAAACGTCTGAAGATTCAGAACGTACTGGTGAAGTAGGTGAAGGAGCTGAAGGAGGTGTGTGAGGAGCCGCATGAAAGATTGGCTTAGGTAACCTTTCCACTATTTCATCAAAGGCAATTGATGAGATACAACCTTGTTGACGAAGAAATTCTAAATCTCTAGTAACATTTTGAACTATGTGTGAAACGTAAGGTTCAATTCCAGAAACTTTGCTGATTACAGAAGTTTTCATTGAAGGATTAACTGAGGTATATGAGGTATCCGGTGGAGGAGAATTGCTTGCATACATTTATTTCAAAAAGGAAAAAAAAAAAAAAAACACTTTACTAGTGACTAAATAATTCAAAACTGAAAAGGAGGATGAAATTTAATAATAATAATAATAATAATAATAATAATAGTAGGTAGGTAGGTAGGTAAGTAAGTAACGAAATTTAATAAAAGGAAGAAAACTGTTTATTTTACAAGAATATAAAAATTTTTAGAAGAGGAAAAAGAATAAAATTTTTTTTGGCGGCGACGTTTCTCTATATAAAAGAGAACCATAACAAAAGGGAATTTCTAAATAGCCAAGTTGAGTCGCACAAAAAAAAATTCGATAAAAATCGATGGAAATTACTTCAACATTTAAAACTCCGATAAAACCTCGCCACACATTTTCCATTTTTGGATAAGGAGCCACGCTTTTTTCATTATTAAGAATCATTACATATTTGTTTTTCTCCGAAACGCATCAAAGAAAGTTTTTTATTAATATAATTACACAAAAGAATTTCTTTTCGAATGATAACTATTTTTGCACTTGGAGGAAATGGACGGATTTTCCATGGTTAACGATTCATGATTAATAATGGAGTAAACAAAATTCATGCAAAGCTTGTCAAAAAATCAGTGTACGAAAGAAGATCTGTAAGGTAAACTGTGCCAATACCTTTCATAAGATATCCTTTTGTTTTTCGTCATAAAGTAATAAAAAAAATTCTTAATTATGAAATTCATTCATTCATTGAATATGAATAATCAACTTCAAGATACTAAGATTATTCAAAGAATTTTTTTTTTTTTAAGGTTTATAACTGATCCAAATAAGATTGAACAGAACAGGAAATCATTGTGTTAATGGGGACAACTCTCTGGAATTTCTATGAAATTGCATATGTTCATTCGTAATACCTTTTTAATATATTGATTAATCGATTATGTAAATACTAAGTGCAGAATCTTGAAAATTACTAGTAGCACAATCGAGAATGTCTACTTTATGTTTCGTTCATTGAGTTTCTAACATCGTACAGTACATATTAACATGCGATATACATATACATGTAAAGAAAGAAAAAAAATATATTTTCTTATTTTATTGTCACAAATCTCGTGAAATAACATATGAAACAAGATGGAATTTTAAAAAAGTTATTAAAATCAATATAGAGTCTTTGTTAAACAATCAAAGAATTCAACAATATCCCTTTGATGAAATTCTACAACGAATCACTGAATATATGCTAAAGAAACTTTTTTATGGATGCATAAATCACATAGTATATCAATTGGTCTTTTATGCCAAAACACATAATTCCATCGTTTCAGTCGTTAATCTAAAATTTATATATAAATATTTTGTTTATTTTTTTTAGCAAATAAATTTTCTGATCATAAGCGTTCGACGTGAACAATCTTTTTGTACCTGTTTTGTAAAATAAATAAACACTCCCTCTAATTAATTTGTGAAATACAGTGCAAAGTCGGAAATTCTAATGTTGTGATATATCCCACTCATGAAAATAGACATCAATGGATACCAAAAAGTATTTGATAAAAAAAAAAGCACGTCAATATTAAAAAAAAATATTTGGGTCGATTGTTAAGGAAAATCAGGTTCCAAACTAAAATTAGAATAATTGAGAATGAATGATCATAGTTCTTATTTCAAACTTGGCATATAAGCTAAGCCATATATCATTTAACAATAACGGTCGGTAATACATTATGATATTGGTTCGTTAATCCTTTAATATCCGCTGATTGTTCCATATTTTATAAATATAATTATTTCACAAGTGTTATGCAAAACTTTGGATCTTAACACAGTTACACATGAATACATTTTTCGGTTGTGACTTCAGAGCTGCAAACTATTCATTAGCATCACAATGTGAAGTTACTCAATTATAAATAAATAATATTCTTTATTCTCTTTAATTTAACTTCGAAAGAATTTTTTTTCACGAAATGATGTAAACAAAAGCCCTTTTCCTGTTCCAGTTAGTCAAAATATTTACTGGTTAGTGGAGGGCGCAGAAATGATGTCAAATAAGAAAATAATCACGTGATAATACTTTTGGTAAATAATAGGTTTAATTTATGGCAGTATTGGCCTTTAGCAGGTTTGGCCATTAGTCCTAAAAAAAAATCCAAATTTTAAATAAGTATTGATACATTTATTATTACCTAGTTATTTACCATCCAATACTGATTTATGTTATTTTAATGAATTCAGATTATTTAATATAAAGCAAGTTATTAATTTTAATTAAAATTTGAATCAAATAATTTATTTCTAAAATAATAAAATTTTTACTCTATTTATTTTATATCTATTCATTATTATATAGTTGTAACTTTTTTGACTAATAGATTAATTTACATATTTGAATTCTTTATAATCTTCTGACTTTTTCAATATATTAAGATTTTACTAAAATCTTTATAAAAGTATTTAAGTAATACTTATTATAATTAAAAGCTGATTACTAAAGTATTCTAATATATGCAATAGATTTAAAAAAAATTGCTTATCTTATTCTTATACAATAGAAGAAAAATATGTTATAAAAGTATCAGAATTTATAATAATTTACAATAATTCTAATTATTATATTTTTATAAATTAAAAAAATATTTACAAATTTGCAAATAGTAATCAATTTAATTTAATTTTATTTTTTAATATTTAAATAAAATATAATTATATTTTTAAATATATATGATAATAATAATGATTATTACCTATAAATTCATAAAATTCATATAACTTTAAAAAATTATAAATTAAAAATAAAACAATGATTTAAAAATTTAAATTAATAAAATTATAGAATAATATATGTTTAATATTTTATCAATTTATTTTTTAAGATATTATATAATTTTTAAAGTTATTATAATTTAAAGTTCAAAAAAATTTTATATGATATATATAGTAAAATGAAATTATTGAATTAAGAATCAGTTTAATATTAGATATTATTCTGAAAATTTCAGTTTATATTATAATAACTTTGCCTATATATTTAAGATTTTTGAAAAATCATCCATTTAAAAAAATAGTTTTTGGAAAATTGGGATATAATCAAATCAGTGATATATATAAAATTTTTATATAAAATTAATTATTTTACTTTAATTTTTTTATGTTTTAATACTTATTAAAAAAAAATATTATAAAGAGTAAAAACAAATTAGTAATATAATATTTATAAAAAATTACAAATTGATGATAAGAAAATAAAAATAATAATAATTAAAATAAAATTAATTTATTAAATAAAGATAAAAATAAAGAAAATTAATTTAATTAAGTAATGTAAAAAAATATAAAATTTATTTTATCAAAATAACTAAAAAATCAACTTATTTTGATAAATATAGTTTAAGTAATTTTTTTATAAAAGCTGGAAAAGAAACTTTAGATATTTTAATACTTATAAAAAATAATCAAATTCAGACAATTTTTAAATAATATAAAAAATAAATATAATGATTAGCTTAATCTAAAAAATGAATTAAAAGTTTGAAAATCAAACTTAAAAAAAAATAAAAATCATTAAATTTATTTAAATTTAACAAAAATAAACTATTTAAGAAGATTAAATAATAATAAAAAGTTAAAACAAAAACTATTATAGAAGTTATGCAATTAGTTTTTATTGATAATACTCTATATAAATATAAACTATTTATTATTAAACTAAGTATTAGCTTCAATATAATCATCTTTCAATAAGCTATCAAAATAAATATAAAAAATAATATAACTAATAAATGATAAGAATATAATGAAAGAATACTATATTTAGATTTGATCATAAGATTTAAAAACTAATTTATTAAAATTAAAAATATTTATTAAGAATAATGAATAATACAAAAATTGCAATATATTAATTTAATATATATAGGTATTTTTTTAATTACAAAATAAGATAAATTAAGTATATTATAAATGGTTAAAAAATATTAAACTAAATTATAATATTACTTGTATTATATAAGGTATATACTATAATGATTATGAATATATTAATATCATAAAATATTAGTAAATATTTTAGATAAAATCTATAACTATAAAAAGAATATAATAAAGTATGAAGGTAATAATATGAAAAGGATATTTTAATATTGAGACTTAACAAAAAAAATAATTTTTATAATGTTAAAAAATAAATATTTTATTCAAATAATAAAAATGAAACATATAAGCAAAATTCAGAAAATTATCATTATATAAGAAAGAAAATAATCATTCTATCATGATTAATAAATTTTTGATAAAAAAATGCAATCAACTTAAATTAAACTTATAATAATATTAGCAAAATCTTTTTATACCTAAAAAACTTAAATTTATCTTTAACTAGAAAAAGATCAGAAAAGTTTCTAAACAATTAAATAAGTAAAAATAAAAATCATACTAATTTTTAAAGCAATTTTTTTAAACTGTATTACTTTATTTATATTTAATAATAGTTCAAATTATATAACATATAAATTTAATACATTCATAATAAGTAAGATGAATCTAAAATTTAAAATAAGCAATCAAAGATAAGAAATACAGTTTTTAAATCAGATAATTAATATTAATTAATAGATAATAAAATAATGAACTAAATAATGTTAATTAAATGTAGGTTATGAAAAGGTAAATTAAATGCCAATTATAAATTATGTAAAAATAATATTAAAGATATAATTTAGATAAATTATTATGTATGAAAAATTATTTTATTACAGATAAATTTTTAGTTTAAAATGTGCATTAGAGTAGTATATAAAATCTAAACCAAAAATCATGTGCAAAATATGCATATTTTTATGATATTATATGTGCACAAAATAATTTTAATATGCACAAATTTTTTTAAAATAGTATATGCATAATACCATAAAATCTCAAATTTAAGCATCTTTATCACTTTTGCTATAATATTTGTATAAACTAAAATTAAACATCCTCAAATTTAAGCATCTCAAATATAAAATTTTGTCTATTCCAAAAACTGA